CTTTCCCTCTTAATAACTTTCTTCATCTGAATTCAGAACACAATGCTCACCAGAAGACTTCGTCCTACCTAACAGGTTTTTCCTTCTCAATCTCCTTTGCTGGTATTGCCTTTTATCCCCTCTTTCACTGAGCTCAGTTTTTGGTCTTCTATCTACACTCATGCCATATCATCTAAATAGTGATGGTGTTCACATTTGTGTCTTCAGACTGGACCTTCAGCTGCTGCTTGACACATCTATTCAGATACCAAGTAGGCTTCTCATCCTGGTATTTCTCCCTGTTCACCAAACCTGCTCTTCTGACAACCTCTCAGATGTCAGATCATAATAAATCCATTCTGACAGTTGTTTAGGACAAAAATCTTGCAGTTTTCCTTATTTCTTTTTCTCTCATATATTACATCTACTCCACCATGAAATCCTACTAGCTCTACCTTAAAAATATGTCTAATATCCATCCATTTCCCTATACCTCTACTGTTTCACCTTTGATCTGAGCTGTCTTCATCTCTCATCTTACTGCAGTACTATAATAACCTCTTAACTGGCCTTCCTGCTTCCACTCTGTTCCCCTTCTTCAGTCCACTCACAACACAAGAGAATAATCCTCATAAACAGAAGTTAGATCATGTCACTCTTCTTCTCAAAGACCTGAACTTACTCCTCATTTCACCTGAGTAAAACCCAAACTCCTTATAATGGCCTATTATTTCCTATATGATCTATCTGCACCCCTCTTCTTACTTACAAATATTCCATATTTCAGGGAATGGCAGTCTGATTTGACGAATCTACTTAAACCAGAGACTTTAGAGGGTTCCTTGAACTTTTCCCCTTTACCATCATACATCCAATCAGTTATCATAACCTGTTGATGGTTTCCTTGTGTCTCTCAAATCCATTTACATCTTTCCATTGCTGATGACATTGTTTCAACCCACCTCCAATTTAACCTCATCTCATATCTATCTACTACATTTTAACACCAGAGTGATCTTCCTAGTTAAGTGCAAATCTATTCATATCACTCCATAGTGTGTCCAACTCCACATATCTGTCACTAACCAACTTTTTTGATGATTCATAAATTGATACTTGGAATATATAAGACAGTGTCTTACAACTAGCAAGCTTTATTATAATTCAGGCTACTTTTGAAATGTCTGTTATGATAAAATCATTGGGTCACTTACTCAAAGTGTTTTACAGTACATAATTCATTTTTTAAAAGATTTTATTTATTTATTTGACAGAGAGAGATAACGAGAGCAGGAACACAAGCAGGGGGAGTGGGAGAGGGAGAAGCAGGCCTCCCACCAAACAGTTTGCCCGATGAGGGGCTCAATCCCAGGACCCCGGGATCACAACCCAAACCAAAGGCAGACTTAACGACTGAGCCACCCAGGTTCCCCTATAATTCATCTTCGAGGATATATTAGTCTTTGTTCTATAAATAGACTTTTCTCAAGATTAATTCTTTTGTGCATGTAATCATTTATAAAATGAACTGTAGATTTATCTAATAATTTAGATTATATTTTTAATTTAAGAAAAGGTCAGCTACTATGTACATATCTAGGCTATTTCCATCTTAAGATTACTGTAGATTTTAAATAATAATATTAAATAAGAAAAAAATAATATTAAACAATAATGAAAATATTAAAGGAGAATATTAGTTTCCATAGCCTACAAAATATATTCACATAAATAAGCTCATTTATTACTAAAAGTACTCAAAGAGTAGATATTATTTCCCTTTTTCAGAGGAACAAATTGGAGTTCAGAGAAGATAAGTGATTTGATGAAAAATATCCAGCCAGTCAGTGATAGAACTAACTCTGGAATTCATACTCTTTCAATGTATACCATGAGGTAGTGCCTGTATGTGCAGGTTTTTATTTATTTATTTAATTTTATTTTAGAGAGGTGGGGGAGGGCAGAGGGAGAGGGAGAGAGAATCTAAAGCAGGCTCCACGCCTACACAGGGCTCAATCTCATGACCCTGAGATCATGACCTGAGCTGAAATCAAGAGTCAGTTGCTTAACTGACTGAGCCACCCAGGAGTCCCATATGTGCAGGTTTTTAAATACAAAGTATAATAAACCATCTATATATAAAATAATGAATGCTACTTTTCAAGTTGATAAATGCCTACCTTAAAAGTTTTATTTATAAAATTAAAAATTTTAGTTTTTAATGTAAAACAAATCAGCATTGTCCTTCCACACTATTACTAAATATCAATCTATTCTAAAATTTTTGATGTAACATGGAGGTGACATATTACATTAGGAAGCCATAGTAACATGCTGTTTGAAACTATTTCAACCATAAAAAGGTTAGATTTTGGTTCTATTCAAAGGTCAGATCTGAAAATACCAATTTTGGGATGTGTGGCAAATTACAATTTCTTCACACGTTTTGGACGGTACCACTGAAGTTCTGACAGCAGTAAAATGTGTGTTTCTATCCTCTCCCCCTAGTGGTAAGAGATTTGGGAAAAGACCCATCGCTTCTTTCACTCTTAATTTTTGTATAAATAAATAAAATTTCTACCTACCTCAAAGGACAGTTGAAAAAATTCAAAAATTAATCATCCAAAAAAACCACTTAGTGTACCAACTAAAATGAATCTCAGATTTTCCTAAAGCAAGTATTAGAGGACTTTTCATTCCTCCCATTTTAGAATTTTAAATCTGGAACTAGTCATTCAAGTAAGTATTAATTGAGTAATAATCATATATGCAGAACCTTTTCTGGGGTCTATACATCATTTATATTCACAAATCATATCCCATTCCCTCCTCTCATAATGAATCTGGTGCATGGCAGACATACAATAAATGCTCATACTCAGTGAACTAGTGCAAGGCTTCATGAATATTATAATAACTCCCACTAACAGTTACTAACATTTATTGAGCACTAACTATGTGACAGACACAGTGCTAATTACTTTGCATACATTCTCACTCTATAGGAGAAGCTAATATAAGTTAATATAATTAATTAATTTTTAGTTTAATTCTATAGCTAAGAAAATAATAGCATAAAGAGGTTAAGTCTTAGCTAGCTGGTAAGAAGTTCAGTCCCATAGTTAGTAAACAAACTTAGGTAGCCTGACTTCAGTGCCTACAAAGTGTCAGAGATCCATCCATTCTCTTACAGTTCTAGAAAAAGGAGAGAAGATAATAAATAAGGAAACAAATGAACAGTGTAATTTTACATAGTAAATAAGGATATGGAAAAAGGAGAACAGGATAATTTGACAGAAATGACAAGAGCAATGTTGAAACATGGTTTATCCTCTTCCTGTGTTTCCTTGTCTACAAATAATAACACCTAATTCATATATCAGTTATGAGATTTAAATAGGTTAATATACATAAAATGCCTAAAATAGTATATGATGTATAGTATTAAAGTTTTTGCTTAAAACTTATTGGTTATATTTATGATTGTTCTTTTTGCATCTTTGTTATTATAATTGTCATCATATTGAGGGCCTTACTCAAGATAAGGTGATCTGGGCAGGCCTCTATGAGAAAGTGTATTTGCACCAAAACCCAAATGACACTTAGCCACATAAAAATTTGAAGACAGATTCCAGGCAGCAGGGCTAGAATGCCTAGAAAAGAAGGCCAGGGTGGGCCCGGATGAGTTTGCTCAAGTTTAGATTAAAGAGCTGATCAGAGGGATGCCTGGTGGCTCAGTCAGTTAAGTGTCTCCCTGTGGTTCAGGTCATGATCTCAGGGTCCTGGGATCAAGTCCCAGATCCGGCTCCCTGGTCAGCAGGGAGCCTGCTTCTCCCTCTCCCTCTGACTGCCGCTCCCCCATCTGTGCGTGCGCTCTCGCTCAAATAAATAAATAAATAAAATCTTTTTTTTTAAAGAGCTGGTCAGAGCTAGGTTATACTGGGCTTCATTGGCCATAGTGAGGAGTTGGATTTTATTCAAAGTTCAGTGAGAAGCCACTGATTATTTTAGGCATGATAATGACATACTTTGATTTGCATTTTATAAATATCATTCTGGTTGCCATGAAAAGGTTAGATAATAGCTTCTATAGAATATCAATGTCACCACTTCCATTATTTTTAAAATCTTAGTTTTCCTGGGGGAAAATAATTTTCTTCCTGTATTTTTGGAACGTTTGTATCAGTGCTCTTAAAAGTAAAATCAGCATAAAGGACGTAAGAACGGTGTATATGTTTATACCGTCATACACTCATTTTGAACAAAGGTTACATGGAATACCCATATAAATGATACCTTCTGATTCTAAAATTCATATTAATCATATCTAGTGGATTTTAAAATCATATCTCTTTAAAGGAAAGTAGTAGAATAGTTCACTTACTTTAAATTAATATAAGGGGAGGAGATTCTTTAGGCCTCACTTCTCATATTTCTGTCATTTGGCCTTACCAGTTATTAGCTTCTTGCCCTTCAAGAAAGGTAACATTGCAAATCTGATTGGGTGGCATGTATTACTAGTGTGTGGTTACTTTCCTTAATCTTCCCCTTACCCCCCACACTATTTCCTCACACCTCTCTTCTCCAAGTTCACCTTGGTTTGAGTAGATTGAAAGCCCACTTAGGCCATACCATCCAACTCAATCTTACCAGGTTGATACAGGTTCAGTAGCCTCAAAGCAGCTATTAATAAAGTTGTATATTGATGAGTTGATACCACTGTGTGGAGAGGGGTAAATAGTGGTGGAAGAAGAGCATTTCCAGGTCTCTGGTTATTTCACTACCATAATAGCATTAACTCATCATCTTTAATATGTAATACCTGAAAAGCCATTAATGTATTCAAAAAGAATATTATATCCACACTCTGACAAAAATTATAATGCCCTACATTGCTATACATGTAGGTGAAAAAAAAACAACCTGCAATTTAGATGAAGATTCCTCTTAATCCCTCTATCTCATTAAGGCTTTAGGTTTAAAAGTTCAAAAATATAGCTGCATAAAGTGAACTGTTTTACCTGAATGGCCTGTTCCCTTGTTCTTGACTTCTGTGGTTGCCACAGAAGAGGTGAGTGGACTAACAGGAGGGCTGGAAGTAAAGCTTGCACACCCTGCAGATGTGTTGATTTCAAAATATTCTTGGTTGTGATTCATTCGATGAAAATCCAGAGAAGACACAATAGATGTTCGTTGTTTAGGCTAAAATAAATGAGCATGATGAGAGTATTAATATGATCATGTTCATCTTCAGCCCAGTCTCCCAATTGATTTAATATAACTGATGATTTTTTCAGTTAATCTATCTGGCTTTTATACTTAAAATACATATTGTGCTTTAAAGAGAGACACTAAATAATCCCTTGATGAATTAAATAATGAAAAAAATTATTTAATGAAAAAATATTCTGGCATAGTGGATAAAATAACTTAGACTTTTTTGTTAGATTTCCCCAGAAGACTGTACAAATACAGTACATAGAATTTCTCTTAATAATCAATTCGGAAAGTTGCAATTCTAAGTCACCTTTCATTTAACTAACATTTATTAAGCATATGACATTTGCCAGACCCTGAGGATATAGACTCTAATAATAAAAGAGCTCTTGCAACATTGAAAGCATAATTAAAGCAGTTCTGTTTTTTGATCTCTATATAGTCCAAAAAATTGATAGCATTAGATATTGACCCCAAGTATCATATGCTGGAATTTGATAATTAGAATTAAGTAAAGTTACATAGAACATTTCCCAGCACTTAAGAATCTACATGGTATTTGTTGTGAACTTTGATTTCCTTTTTTAAGGATTTTAATTAATCTCCAAAGAGCAAGAAAAGCCAATTTAAACATAAAAGTTAAAATCATGGAGCAATAGCAGATATAATCTATATACTTTACCAGTAATGGATTGTTCCATATAGCAGTTTTCTGGGTTTTTTCCCCCATAGTTTTAATTATATACACTTTTCTTCCTGCCTAGCAGAACTTCTAACAATGTCCTTTAAAACTGTGGTCTTTTTGGCTCTCAGAATTGTGTGCATTTCCTAAGAATCAATCCAAGTTTTCTTACTTCTTATTTTTGCTCACATTACTGAAATATTAACAATCTCCTATAATAATTAACAAGACATTAACTGCAATTTCTTTACAATAAAATTTACCACACGGGGGAGGAACAAGATGGCAGAGGAGTAGGAGACCTAAATTTCATCTGGTCCCAGGAATTCACCTAGATAGGGATCAAACCATTCTGAACACCTACAAACTCAACAGGAGATCGAAGAAAAGAATAGCAGCAACTCTCTGAACAGAAAAGTGACCACTTTCTGGAAGGTAAGACGTGTGGAGAAGTGAATCTGAGGTGATATTTGGAAAGATAGACGGCGGGGGAGGGGGCTTCCGTCAGGCACTACTGGCAAGTGATAGAGCAGCAGACCACAAAATCGGAACTTTTAGAAGTCTGCTCTGCTGAGGGACGTCACTCCAGTGGCTAAGCGGGGCATGGAACACTCGCTGGGACAGTGTGGTCTCAGGACCCTCGGGGTCACAGGAAGACCAGGGGTGCCTGAGTGCGGCAGAGCTCCCAGGTATCAGAGCGGGGAAGCCAGCTGCAAAGATGGAGCCAAGGAGTGGGCTCTCAGCTCGGGGTTCCATAAACCGTGATCTGTGGCACGGTCGGGCCACTGCTCTTCCAGCAGGGACCCAACAAGTGGCAGATCTGGGGAGACTCCCCTTCCTCCCCTGGGAGGAGCAGCGTGTGGGAGCGCACCACAGGAATCTCCCTTGGTTTGGAGACTCCAAACGGGGTCATGTTCTGGAGACAGAAATGCTTGATCACAGGCCAGGTGAGCATGGAGTGCGGAAGAAGACCGGGGAGATGGGAATGATTGACTTCTTTTCTCTGGGGGTGCACTGAGCAGTGGGGCCCTGAGTTCTTGGCTCCTCCGGGTGGAGATTGGGAGGCTGCCATTTTCATTCTCATCCTCCAAAGCTGTACCGAAAGCTTGCAGGGAACAAAAGCTCCTGAGAGCAAACCCGAGCAGATTACTTAGCCCGGACCGACAAGGGCGGGGCAATTCCGCCTCTGGCAAAGACATTTGGGAACCACAGCAACAGGCCCCTCCACCAGAAGATCAGCAAGAACAGCCTGCCAAGACCAAGTTTACTGATCAATGAGAATGGCAGAACTCCAGCGCTAGGGGAATACTGCACATAGAATTCATGGCTTTTTCCCCCTGATTCTTTAGTCGTTCAAAGTTGATTTTTAAAATTTTCTTTTTCTATTTTTTTAAAATTTTTCTTTTTCCCCTTTTCAACCAACATCGTTATCAATCCCCTTTTTAAAAATCTTTTTTATTTTTCACTTTTAGAGTCATATTCTATCCCTTCATTGTAGTTAACCTTATTTTTTGTATATATATATATATATATGTTGTTCTCACTTTAAAATTTTGGGATACAGTTTCTTCTAACAGACCAAAATATGCTCTAAATCTCTAGTGTATGGCTTTGTTCTAGTCTCCTGCCTAATCACATTCTCTCCCTTTTTTTTTTTAATTTCTCTTCTCTCTTTTTTCAATGAACTTCTTATCAATTCCTTTTATAAAATCTTTTATAATTTTCATCTTTACAGTCATATTCCATACCTTCATCGTATTTACCCTTATTTTTGTACATATATAAGTTTTTCTTTCTTTAAAACTTTGGGAGACAGAGTCTTCTAACAGACCAGAATATGCCCAAAATCTACTGTGTGGCACTGATCTATTCACCAGCCTGATCATATTTGATCCTATTCTTTTTTTTTTTTCCTTTCTTTCCCTTTCTTTTTCCCCCGGTTTTGGGTCTCTTCTGATTTGTTTAGTGTATATGTTTCTGGGGTCATTGTTACCCTGTTAGCAATTTCTTCTCTCATTGATCTGTTCTCCTCTGGACAAAATGACAAGATGGGAACACTCACCTCAAAAAAAAGAACAAGAGGCAGTACCGACTGCCAGGGACCTAATCAATACAGACAGTAGTAAGATGTCAGAACTAGAGTTCAGAATGATGATTATAAAGATACTAGCTGGGCTTGAAAAAAGCATGGAAGATACTAGAGAAACACTTTCTGTAGAAATAAAAGAACTAAAATCTAACCAAGTTGAAATAAAAAAGGCTATTAATGAGGTGCCATCAAAAATGGAGGCTCTAACTGCTAGGATAAATGAGGCAGAAGAGAGAATTAGTGATAGAGAAGACCAAGTGATGGAAAATAAAGAAGCTGAGAAAAAGAGAGATAAACAACTACTGGATCATGAGGGCAGAATTCAAGAGATAATTGATACCATAACAAAACAATATTAGAATAATTGGGATCCCAGAAGAAGAAGAAAGAGAGAGAGAGGCAGAAGGTATATTGGAGCAAATTATAGCAGAGAACTTCCTTAATTTGGGCAAGGAAACAGGTATCAAATTCCAGGAGGCACAGAGAACCCCTCTCAAAATCAATAAAAATAGGTCAACACCCCGACATCTAATAGTAAAATTTACGAGTCCCAGAGACAAAGAGAAAATCCTGAAAGCAGCTCAGGAGAAGAGGTCTGTAACCTATAATGGTAGAAACATTAGATTGGCAGCAGACCTATCCACAGATATCTGGGAGGCCAGAAAGGACTGGCAGGATATATTCAGAGCACTAAATGAGAAAAATATGCAGCCAAGAATACTCTATCCAGCTAGGCTGTCATTGAAAATTGAAGGAGAGATAAAAAGCTTGCAGGACAAACAAAAACTAAAAGAGTTTGCAAACACCAGACCAACCCTACAAGAAATATTGAAAGAGGTCCTCTAAGCAAAGAGAGAGCCTAAAAGTAACATAGAACAGAAAGGAACACAGACAATATACGGTAACAGTCACCTTACAGGCAATACAATGGCACTAAATTCATATCTTTCAATAGTTACCCTTAATGTAAATGGGCTACATGCCCCAATCAAAAGACACAGATTGGATAAAAAATCAAGACCCATCAATATGCTGCCTGCAAGAGACTCATTTTAGACCCAAAGACACCTCCACATTGAAAGTGAGGGGGTGGAAAACCATTTACCATGCTAATGGACACCAAAAGAAAGCTGGGGTGGCAATCCTTATATCTGACAAATTAGATTTTAAGCCAAAGACTATAATAAGAGATGAGGAAGGACACTATATCCTACTTAAAGGGTCTATCCAACAAGAAGATCTAACAATTGTAAATATCTATGCTGCTATATGGGAGCAGCCAATTATATAAGGCAATTAATAACAAAAGCAAAGAAACACATCGATAACAATACAATAATAGTAGGGGACTTCAACACCACCCCCACTGAAATGGACAGATCATCTAAGCAAAAGATCAACAAGGAAGTAAAGGCTTTAAATGACACACTGGACCAAATGGACTTCACAGATATATTCAGAACATTCCATCCCAAAGCAACAGAATACACATTCTTCTCTAGTGCCCATGGAACATTCTCCAGAATAGATCACATCCTAGGTCACAAATCAGGTCTCAACTGGTACCAAAAGATTGGGATCATTCCCTGCCTATTTTCAGACCAAAATGCTTTGAAAGTAGAACTCAGTCACAAGAGGAAAGTCGGAAAGAACTCAAACACATGGAGGCTAAAGAGCATCCTACTAAAGAATGAATGGGTCAACCAGGAAATTAAAGAAGAATTTAAAAAAATTCATGGAAACAAATGAAAATGAAATGACAACTGTCCAAAATCTTTGGAATGCAGCAAAGGCGGTCCTAAGAGGAAAGTATATAGCAATACAAGCCTTTCTCAAGAAACAAGAAAGGTCTCAAATACACAACCTAACCCTACACCCAAAGGAGCTGGAGAAAGAACAGCAAATAAAGCCTAAACCCAGCAGGAGAAGAGAAATAATAAAGATCAGAGCAGAAATCAATGAAATAGAAAGCAAAAGAACAATAGAACAGATCAACAAAACTAGGAGCTGGTTCTTTGAAAGCATTAACAAGATTGATAAGCCCCTGGCCAGACTTATCAAAAAGAAAAGAGAAAAGACCTAAATAAATAAAATCATGAATGAAAGAGGAGAGATCAAAACCAACACCAAAGAAATACAAACAATTATAAGAACATATTATGAGCAACTATAAGCCAGCAAATTAGATAATCTAGAAGAAATGGATGCATTCCT